GATCCTCCTAAATGTTACACATTTTAAAGGTCCAGTAAATTGTGATGGCTGCCTCACCTGGCATAGTGATGTCTGTGTAGCTGGGCCTCTTATCACTTAGGGAGGACAGTGGCTTAGCTGCTGACATAGATCCACTTATGGAGTGTCTCTGAAACAGCAAATAAATAATATTAAGAATCCCATTACCACAAATGATGTGCTCCTGGTTAAGTAGAATACTATATAAAATACATAAATACAACATTATAAACTAGCAATACAACAGAAAGGAAAACGATCTACAAGTGTGCTTATTTTGCATTTTTCGAAATAACTGAAGGATCTTGTGGATTATAGGTTAATATATTGGTTGAGAAAATTCTCCCCCTTCATAAACTAAGAGAATTAAAAACCCACTCGATCATCTGAAAAATACATTGTCTCATAGATGAAAGCAGAGCTCATTAACAACAGATGTTTTGGAGATATGTAGTTTTCACATGACAGCAACAAACTATTATGCGTCAGATTTATTTTATTTCACCTAAAGATTAGATTATCTCATTATATAATAATTCATTTTCACTGTTCAGTGCATCTTGTTCCACACTTTTGCAAATAGACACTAATTCAGATTACTTTTATTAAACAAATCAAAAAATATATATTTTACCTGGTAAATCAAAATGTTCTTTTCTTTCTAGAACTTTTACAAAGTAGAGCCATTTTCCCACAGTCTGACTTCTGTATAGTCTCCCAATTTATCCAATCAACCAGGTTTGAAAATCCAATAAGTATGAAAATCCTAAGATTTGGGGCTTTACTACTTTTTATGTACTTATACTAGTAATTATACTAATATTTATACAAAATGTGTATCATAATCTGAGTCTACTGCTCCTGCTCCCTAATTTGTCAGTTTTTGTTTATTAGAATATTAAAGGCATAGCCTGCTTCTTTCACAAACTCTTCACTGTATAAAAAATAAAAACTACTGCAGGCTATTCCGACATTTCTGTAAAATGACCTAAAAAAACAACAACTTGTTGATACCAAGTTTACGACGTCTGCCATCATCAATGTAAGTTCCAAACTAACCATTAAAAAATTTGAAATAGTATAGTAACAGGGAAAAGGGAAATTTTAGCAGCATGTAAGACTTCCCTCTTGTACCTGTATGGGTGAAACAGCAGCTGCTGGGGGTGTTTTCATGGGACTGGGGCTGAGGGGGGTTCGTGGTAGTGGGGCAGCTGTGGCTGTCGGAGTCACTGTGGCACCATTGGAAGGTGGACCTAAGTTCAGAGTGGAAAGGAACCAACACATATAACTCAGTTCAGTCCTGCTCCATGCACACAACCAAATACAATGCTCATGTCATGAACTGACCCAGGAGTCCTGTCTATAAAGGTTCCTTCTGTACTGACAAATACTGAGCTCAAGACCAAAGCTAAGGTGGTTGGCAGAGACAAAATGATCTTACTGCAAAATAAATAGAATACACATCTATTTTTTTTTATAATCAAAAGCTAAAAATAAAGCCAGAGTTTCTATGACTTCTTCCAAATCAGTCTTTGATACTGTTGCAGACCTAAAGACCTAAACAGATGACTACACTTGCAGCAATGGGGAATAAATAATAGAACATGTAGACCTATTTTGTTGCATTGCCAAACATTTGTTCAATCTGAAAATCACTCAGTATATGAGTGAGTATATGAAGCTACAGCTTATTATTACCATTTAAACCAGCAGCAACATTTAAAAGTGAAGAAAGTGGAGCGTCTTATGATTGTGTGGTACCTTGCGAGGCACTGTCGAAGCTCTTGATTAGAGTTTTGACGGTGGGAGAGGGCTCTGAGGAGGTGGAGGATCGCCGGCTGAGACCCATCCCCTGTCTGAGAGCAGCCAGGTCCCTCTCCACTGCATTCATGTAGTTATACACTCTGCCTCTCTCCTCGTCCTGCCTGGGAAACACACAATACTACTCAGTATGTACACTCACAGCTCCTATTCTGTCTATTTCTACACAATAGTTCGACAATGGCTCTTAATCTGTTTATACTATCATCTTGTAGGGACAATTATGGTGAATTTGTAATTGAAAATAAGGGATTCATCATTTTGTCTGTGAAGGCCATTTTTCAACTGTGGGATTTGTCAAAGATAAATGAATGTGAACCCTGGTATTGAGTACCCAGAATCATAATCAAATAAACAAAGTTAAATGTCTCCTCATTTCGTTTACAAACGCAAGACAGATGTCAGAGTGACCGCTGGAGCTCTTCTATTCGTCTCTCTGTGGCTCTTACTTGCGGCTCTTGACCTCGTCCAGCTCTTTGCTCAGCTTCTCGTTCTTCTCCTGGGCTTCCTGCAGCCGGCGCCGCAGATCTCCAATCTCTTCCTGTGCCTCAGACTTGATGTCATTAGCAATGACAACAGCTGTCTGCAGATCAGCCTGGAACTGACGCCATTCCATTGACTCCTCCTGCACACAGATACAGTGAGATGACAGCAGCAGAGAGTTTAGGGTTTATTTAGGCTAAATGACACGTTGGATCATTAAAGCAGTATGAATGAATGACTTTTTGGGCACTTGGGGGTGATGGAACAAGCTGCAACATCTGACTATTATATATTATCACCTTATAAAGTTGATGGTGAACGTGTTAGCAAACAGTCCCATTTTACACACCCAGCAGACACGGAGAAACAGAAGCAGTACACCATTCTCTGTACTTGTAGCTCTGCTTGTTGCTAACTTAGTTGTCTACTATTTGGTGCTGGGCAAATAGCATACAGTGGGTGTACGGGAGCTTTTTCAGTGAAAACAGCTGCCTACTGTGTATAGAGATGGGGCAGAGGGGAGTGGTGAAGGTGAACTAAAACAGTGAAGTTGTAGCCTGTAAAACCAAAACAATAAGCTGAAAGAAACTAAAAGGCTTTGTAGAGCTAAGGGATCCTTCCTCCAGTTAAACTATATAGTTAAAAATGACGTATATAAAAGTGTATAGTAAAAACGTGGCTTAAAACTGGGTTTGAACATTGTTGGAAATATTTGGGATAATGTAAGTACACTACTCAACAAAATATATAACGTAGGTCTAATGACATTTTAATGTAGAAATGTTACGTATTATAGCTTTAATATTAAAAAAATATTATTACAGCTTTAACATTGTTCAGGTTAACTGATATATCATTGAGATATAAACTGCACTGTCTTCCTGTGAATCCAGTGGAAGAACAGTGTTTGCAAATACATGCCATTGGTTTTAACCTATGCCCAGATCTAACCCACTAACTAAACATAAGAACTGTATTTATTTGACTCCAGTCTGGCCTAGTCCCCTTGTAGGCCAGTGCTCCTCTGTAACACTCTTACCCGTAGTCTGCGGTGAAGAATCTTAATCTCTCTCTCCATGTCATGCTTCTGGTCCTGCAGCTTCTTCACCGAGTCTGAAATAGGAGGTTAATACATGCTGGTGGTATTAACAGGCCACAGAAAAAGACTCTATGACTCATATATATACTGTTATTAGTCAGATGATTGAAGAGGAAGTCACACTATCTTAATTTGTTTTGGGTTGGGTTCACACAACAAGCTCTCTAAATTATCACTGGCAGTCAAAATTTAGTTTGCAAGTTTACACCGTTCTGTGTATGCAGCCCACTCACTCTCGAGGTCTGTGATGATGAGGTTGTCGTGGAGTTTCAGAGCTCGGTGCTGCTCCACCTCATCCTCCAGCTCAAAGATGGTTTCCTTCATGTCTGCGATCTCGGTCTCTTTTTCCTGCAGGTCCATGCGCTGCTTCTCCAGTGCGCGCTCCTGCTCGGCCATCTGCTGCTGCACCTGCTCCTGGAAGCCTCTGTATTCCCTGTCCAGCTGCACACACACACACACACACACACACAGGAAGAGGGGTATCCTTCATTTAATTAATAAGCAATGAGGTAATTAGCTGACTAACGCGCAACAAAGCTCCAGCAGTGTCATACTGTAATTTATAGAGATGTATTGTGTACAGTGGGAGTCTTAACTGTGCATCTGCACAGTGTCCTCTGCCTAGTGTTATGTTGGTGAGGTACAAACAAGGAATGTGTACCACTCCTTGCTAGAGGTAAACTTTGGAGACATGACTGTGGTATCTGATGTTTTCAAGGTCAAATCTGGCACTGCTCCATAGACAGTAATAGGGGCATTCATTATGATGACCCAAATTCTCTCACAACCTAGATTAAATTTAATATAGGTCAACACACAATTGGAAACAACCTTTTTCAAGTTTTAACTCACCTTACTGAAAGTCTCCTGCAGCCGGGTGAGATCACTGTGGGCTTGTTCCAGCTCCTCCTGCAACTTTGCCGCCTTGGCCTCAGCCTCTTCTTTCCCCAGACGCACTCCTTCCAGCAGCTGGCAGATGTCATTTTTGTCCCCTGCAGTGTGAAGAGAGTACAGTTCGGCCACCCTCTGCCTCTCCTGGTCCAGCTGGGCTCTGCAGCGGTTCAGCTCCGCCTGGTCGTTGCTCATAGCTGCCTTGTACTCCTCAACTGCGGCTGCCATGGCAGCTCGACCCTGTCTCTCCGACTCCATGATGCGCTCCATCTGGTGGTTCCTCTCCTTCAGAGCTCCGATCATCTCCTGGGCCTCAGCGTTGTCCTGTTCGGCCATCTTCAGTGTGTTGGACAGGTGTTGTTGAACCCCCAGCAGCTGCTCTCTCTCAAAGCGGGCATTATCTGCCAGGTCTCCGTAGCGCTGCTCCAGCTCCATGTAGCGGCTACTCTTGATGTCCTCCTCTAGCACATAGGAGATATGTTGCTCATCCAGCAAAGAGCGCAGGTACTCGATCTGTCGACCGTAAAGCTCTAGCTTGTCACTCTGCTGGCACAGGGAGTCCATGAGGATCACCTTCTCTTCACCTAGCCGCTCGTTCTCTCCGTTCAGCTCCTGGGTGATTTGCTGCAGGTCAGCCAGCTCCTGCAATGTGGCCTGGAGCTCCTCAGCAGTGCTGTGCTGGTTCTCTTCCATCTGGTGGATGCGCTCCGTCAGACAGGCCACTGACACCTCGCTAGCATTGCCACTGCTGCCCCTCCGTGAGCGCTCCCTGCTGGGTGCGCATTCCGACTCCGAGGATGAGGAAGCTCCAGAGGGGGCGTCCAGAGCATCGTCACTTGAGGTGACTGCCTGGTAGACTTCGCTAGATTCACTGTCGAGGTTGTCTGCTGAGCCTCCATGCTGGTGTCCTGTGAGCAGATCCTCCAAAGAGCCGGGGGCAGATCCTTCCACTGAGGAGGTCAGCGTACCTGTTCCTCCACCATCACTCTGCCCGCTGCCTGCTGCCAGGTCCGGGCTAAAAGAGGCGTAGTTGAACAGCTTGTCAGAGCCATCCAGCCTCTGCTCCAGAGAGAAGCCCAGCGCATTGAGCCGGTCTTTTAGCATTCGGTTCTCACTCTTTAGCAGGTTGAGCTCCTCTCTGATGGCCTGGTTCTGCTCCTGTAAGAGAATCAGAGTGGACTCCACGTCAGCTGCTGTGATGGCTGACACGTGGGGCTTCTCCTCCTCCCCGGCTTCCTCCTGTGGTGGTGCTTCCTTCCCTCCCAAACCAAGCTGGGCCCTCATGTCTCTCAGCTCACTGCGTAGGTGGAGGATCTCCACATCTTTGCTTTTAGCCAAACCCAACAGGTCATTTACTTTGGCCTGCAGAGCCACCTTATCACTGATCTGGCCGTCTGATTTAGATTTGCTCATACGGCCCTCGGACTCTGCCAGAATCTGGCCGCGAGAGCGCTTCCCTGAGGCCACATCCCCCACTACAGTCCCCGAAACCAACTGCTTCTTATTGGCGGAGGTCCTGGATGTCCGGAGACGGTCTCGTGATGAATTTGGCTCCTTGGAAATCGAAGATGTCGTACGCTTGGATGAAGTACCTGGTAAGACAGAAAAAGGTCGTCCTTACATTCCCAGTAAAGCTCTTTTTTTTTTTTTTTTACAAAAAGATAAAAAATTAATATGTAGGCATGGAATATTATATATACCTGATGTTGTCTTTGGCTTACTGTCCAAGTTGCTAGCAGTAGTCCCAACTGAGGCAGTCCTCTTGGTCTTGGTGACAGCATTACTTGATGCAGGATTGCCTCCAGCCATAGCTGCTAAAAGATCATCATTGCTTTTCACCTGAAATAACAAAATTCAACATTTTCATTTTCACAAACAATAAAATCAAATCCAATTCAAAGCGGCATTAATCAGCTCTAATTGGTCCATGACGTGATGAGTCTTACCTTAGACAGAGGTGCTGTGGTGCTGGTCTTGGCTGCAGCCTTTCCGGTCCCAGTGGTAGCCGTGGCCTCCGCCTTCCCTCGATCTCCGCCGACCTTACTCGCGGCTGGCCGGACCGACTTCTTCATACTGAGCTGTCTGATGCCGATACATTTACAGCTCAATCTGCGCACGGAGGAGGGAGGAGAAAGGTAATGTATGTCAGCAGTGCGCAGAGTGATAGCTCCAGTTTTCCATGGAAGAGGAATTCTTTCCACAGCCTATTCCCTAAACACTAGAAAAAAACACTGAGACCACATTGAATAGCAGAGAACTTCTAGAAAACGTGTTTCTCTCCATCTGTCTCTGTAATCTGAAGTTTATTCTAGACAGTTGGTGTTTGGGAGGTAGTGGATAATTTTGCTGATTCCCCTGATGCCAGTTTAAAAATGTTTATTTGTATTCACATCATGATACGTGGACACTTTGACAATTTAAATCATTTTGTCTACACGGCAGTTACATTTGGTAGCTGTTAAGACAGCTGTAGGGGACCACCCCAGATACAGGAATGCAAGATAAACACTGAGATAGGCTTCAAAAAGCCAACCAATGTCTCCACTAGATGGCTCTCATGTGTTTGTGATAGTTGAGTCAGTTCAGAGTTTCACTTGCCTGTCAGCTGCAACAACGATGACACTGATAAAGTTTCAATCTGTGTGGGTGGTTGCTGCTTTCAGTACATATTAATTTGTGGGAAGAATGTGGTTACAATCCACAATGGACTCTGTAGCACAGACACAGATCTGCAAGACAGGATTTTCTCTAGCAGTGTGTAGAATAATCATCAGAGCCAAAAAAGGAAAAGTAGATTCGTTCACAGATCAAAGTGAAATATTTTGAGAGACAAAAATGCGAGGTTCTTAGTCTGTTACTGGGCAACCGATGTCTGATACACTGGATTACATTTTGCACTGCCAAGAAATCATTTAGTGCCGTCACGTTTGTGCAAGATGTACTCATAACAGTTCACAAGCACTACATGCTCTATTTAAACAATTTGAGAACCCAGAAAAGTTATATAACATTTTAATAGGGGCAAATTCTTGAGATAATTTCAAAAGGTGTATTGAATTAAAACTATGGTGGAGTTATCTGCAGCAATTTAGCCAATAAACTGTGCTCATTTGGCAGTGAGCAAGGTGTTGAAACTGGCTGCAACCAAATAAGAAAAGCTTGTATAAAACACAGGAGGCTTTATTCAGCATTGTTCACATGTTGCGTCCAGGTCTGAAGAAAATCTGACTTGATGCCACGATAGCAAGAAAAGTGATTTGGGACACAGCTGGAGACAAAGAGTAAGTACTTTAGCACAGATTTGGATGCCTTCTTTTTGCACTAAGGCTCTTAAGAGGAAAAAGTGAGCTGGAGTTATTTATTGTGCGGAGGTAATCCAGCTGCAATCTATCTCTGACTCCGTGATCTGTTGTTGTCCTGAGCAGATGTTTGTTGTTTATATTTATTTTATATCTAATCAATTATCAGCAGTAACTCAAACTATAAATAGAGCACTGTGAGAAGCTGACCAATGTATTGTAGCAGGAGCACACATATTTACACTATTCACAGACTGAAACCGTTCCTTGAATCTTGAATACACACAAGGATGAAATAACATTTTAAATGTGATGCAGCCAGAGCAGGGGCGAGATCTGCACACAATAGCTCACATCTGAGTCTGATACTCCCAGAGAATCCAAAATAACCTGCTACTAAACCACAACGGCACTTTATTCTAAAACAAATGCTTCTCTAATAGATTTCAGCTGTGTTGCTGTGGTACAGGTGTTACCTTAAATCTGTCATCCTGCGCTGAATCTTCCACATGGAGCACGCAGACTCCTCAAAGTGATTGATTTTTTTCTATGATATTTTTTGGCCTTTTATTTCTGTCAGGCTTACCTTGGCCTCCAGTGACGTAGATGGTGCACCTTACTCATACGACCAAACCACAAAAACACACGGCCCTAGCCTTTAGGAAGAGTTACGAGGAGTTTTTATACTGGAACTAAAGCTATAAATGTGTATTTGCCAAGTTGTAGAACTTGATATTTTTCATCAAAATAAATATGCTTACATAAACTACAAAAAGCTTCTTACAGCCACAGAACACGTGTTGCATACCATCAGACCGCAGACAGCTATGTGTATGTTTACGAAGAGCCGCAAGCAAACAAAAGAAACAATCTTCCCTGCCTCATGTGGAGGAAATGGCAAATAATGTGTCTCAGCTGGTTAGACTCTGCAGCTCTGAGGCGCAGAGGTAGATTTTATTCAGTCAAACAGATCTGCACCTTGATGCATATTGGGTTTACATCTGCAACCTCTTCAGACTTCATGATTAGAATATGAATTCTACGTTCACACCATGCACTTTTCCTCGGTCAGTGTTTTTTCCAAGATAAAGGCTACACCCCCCAGGTCTCTCTGTATTTGGAAGCTTGACGTTATGTCTGCACAGTTCTCACTGCACGTTACCCAGACCAAGACTTAATATGTTGACAGGTTATCTTAAATTACATATGCAGTTAAGCTAGAATTAATTGACTGTAGAGCTTGTGTTGTCTTTCAGTCTGCCATTGGCAGAACACTAAAGTCCTGCTGTGCAAGTCTTTGTTTTTTCAAACACAAACTTTCTGGGCACAAAGAAACAAAGAACATGTGTGTATCTGCACTACTGCTGCTGTTAAACTCATACTTCATGCCATCAAGCAAGTAACGTCTCTAGCTAAAGATACGACTCAGCTTGCTAAAGAATATATAATGACCCTTCGCTACATTACCTTATCTGTCTTTGCCCACCTAACTCCATACTGCCTGTGTATGCATGTACTTATTCATAACACATACGTTTGGCAGGGCGTTATCCCTGAGTACTGACATGTGTACTCAACAACTAGCCAGTTTTCTGAATAGCTGAATGTGTGTCAAAGCAGATGTCTGAAACAGAGAGCTGCTAGCTGGAGTTCGGCTCTTTTCATTGGATCTGAATAGACATGGGATCGCCGGCTGGGGACCAAAAGTGCAGCTAAATGGGGCAGAGGCAGCAGCCTTTTCTTTCACTCTCTCACTTTGTAAAACTACTGCAAATCTCCTGCTAGGCAGTTTGTGTGAGTACCATTTTGAAGACTTTTTAATACAATGATTCAATGATAATTCATACACCACAAATGCATACACATTGGCCTGTCAGACTCACTTGGATCAGTTTGGAAAATGGAGTCTAAACCAGCGGTTCTTCTCACACTACTGTAGTTTACACAAACATCTGTGATGAATCACACTGTGTCAAAAACAACGCTGTTTCTGTGATGATAAAAAAAACTTTTCTTTGTGACTCCACATGATTAGACTGACTGTTTACCATTCTTGTGTAAATATAGCTAAAGATATAATTATTCCAGTTGTGATCATTTGTCTTCTCAAATATAAAACAGCCCATCACTATCCATCAATAGGATGATGCTATGAGAGGAAGGTTGACAGAATCATTGACGTGCCACATTTTAACCACGTAACGCTCTGTGCTGCAGAATGTCAGCTGCTCCTCACTAGGCCAGAAGCCAATAACACTTGTCCTGATTCAAATTAAATAGAGCTACAGTATTTCATTTCAGTGTTAATGAATGCAGTGGAGCTGATCCAAGGCTGACCAAAGGAACAAGAGTGTGTAGTGTTCCTTTACAGACAGCTGAACAAAGCCCGAGGCTGAGACAGAGGACGCGGAAGAAACGGCCGAGGTAAGTCTGGGAAGAGAAGGAGGTGGGGGTAGCAGTGGTCTAGGAACTCATTAATACCCCGTCCCTGCTCTCCTTCCTTATTCATGCTTTAACTGAGGGGAGGCACTTCCTTGCCATAACATTAGCTTCCTGTGGTGGCGTCTCCAGTCAAAAAAAAAAGAAGTAAACCCTAAAAGGGTGACTGTGTGTACAAGGACAAGCAGGCACCAGTCTGCCTGAGACAGAGCAGACACTGTAAGACCTTCAATTTCATTTGCCAATATATGCCTCACTATTAATACACAAGCCTGGACTGCAAGTAAACAAGCCATTTTTTGTTCTGTGGCCTTCAGTCAAACAACAATCACCAACAGTGTTTCAACACCAATTTTTATTGAGCTATGGTGTGTTTGGCTTTCACATTCACACCGTGTGGAGGAGTTAAAACTGAATCCACTTAGTTCAATTTCATCCAACTGAGCATGGTCTGGTCCTGACCAATGAGTTTGTCCTGGAAATACATTTCTTTCTTTCCCCTTATTCAGTGTCAGCTGAGGGCAAAGTTTCCAAGACTGTAGAGTTTTTCCCAAAATATTTTTCTAAAAGCACAGCAATGACCAGGCAAAGCCAAGGGGGAATATCGCATAAGTCATATCTCCTGGACATGGATGTGAAGAGTGGGCTGTGAAATATTGCTCTTTCCAAGAAAAGTTGGGAAACATCTGTGGTCTCCTTTGGTTAGAAAATATGATTTTAAACTAACTGAGTATCCTTACTTGAGAGAGAGAGGATGATTTACTGAAGTAAGACACACACAGAGTCCATCCTTCTGCAATAGTACACGCTTTGGGCCAGACAAAAGGCACTGACAAGCTGCAACATCACTGCACTGTTGACTCTTCTCAGGGGGATGGCAAATTTACATTGTTCTGGGCTACACCTACATTAGCTGCACCACGGCTAACGTTAGCACAGTGTGTGTCATTCAACCAAACGAGCACACACTTACCAAACAACCCGTTGGGATAAACACAGCTACCTGACTCTAAGGAGTAAGCAAACAAAGGTACTATCAGGTCAGAGACCAAATGGCAAGTTAAAACTAAGGAGATAACCCAGCTAGCTAGTTAGCTTTAGGGTCAGGCACGCACGGAATTTCAGTAATTTCACTTCCTGTTTGGCGACACGATTTCAAAACAAAAGCACCGCCAGACACGTAAGCACAACCCTTCTACTTAAAGTATAATAATTATATTAGATATAATACTCATAGAGGGAGAGGATTTAAACCTATAGTGAAAATACACGTATAATATATATAGTACGGCAGATAGATAGCTGATGTAATATGGGTTTACACTGCAGATATTTACAACCAGATGAAAAATAAATTTCTTCAGATTTCAGGTATTTCGGGTTACTATAACGCATTAAGTCCGAAGCGTAATGTATTTTCAAATACAATTATAGGTCTTCTTGAGTACTCGCCTGACTAAACGTACCTCTACATGTATCACATAATAGTTATAAACCACTGACGAGATTAGCAAAGGATTCTTTTGCGAAGTGATAGCGTTACATTTACATTTACAAAAACATTGCTGCAGTTAAACGTAACTTAAGTTAACTAGGAAGCAATAACGGTAGTAAACACAGTTATATTGACCGACATTAAACTATGATTGACCCTCGGACTGTATGTCAACACATCGTGAAGACTTATTTTGAAATAATTCATAGTATAGACCCAAGTGATTTTTTCTGCCTTGACAACTGACTAAAAATCTTCTCTGAGGGCTAAAACAATACATATCAAGCTATTTAAAACAAATAAAATGAACAACGCGAGTCTGCGTAGCTGGTGTAACTTTAGAGTTGGTTTGTGTGTTTCTTTTCAGTCAGTTAATTAACTTCAGCTGTCAGTAAGCAACAGAAAAGCTAAGGTTGCTAATGCTATCGTTTGGCTAACAATGTTAGCATAGCCGGCAAAAAGACAGCGCTCTGTCAGTAAGCCGATAAAATATCCATACCTGAGGTTCTCCTAATTGTCCAGTTTGGTAGGTTGATAAATGTCCGATGAATGTTCATTTGCGGTCGCTAACACTTCACTAATCCACAACTTCAGACGGCAGCCAGCATCGGTTTCGGATGTCAGCCCCTCTCTGTTGGCAGCAGCCGGATGATCCTCTGCCCCCTCCTCTGGTTGCATCATCTCAGCATCCCCCTCTGTACAGGAGGGACAGTCCGCTGCCTCCAGGAGCTTCAGATACCCGCTGCTTCATTTATTATTGTCTCCACATTATTCCTGGATCTGGGCCAAAAGTCTGCAGTCTTCTCGATCACACTACCTTCACACACCTTCAATTAGAGTAGGGGAAATGTCAGCTATAGACCACTGACAGTATATGTAAGGTATAGACCCTTGAAGGTATGGATCCTAGTGTATTATTGCTTTAGATACATCTTTGACATCCTGTTTAATATATCTTACACCTTAGTTATTATAAAACGAGAATATGGTAATATCAGAAAATATCTAGCTTACTTGTACTTGTACTTGTTTTTGTTTGGTGCTTGGTTTTTGGTTGCTTGCTATGTAAGAATCACTTGAGGGTATACTAACCTTTATTTAGTCATGGCTTTCCTGGAAACATGTGGATTAACGGCTCATTTAGGGCACATACCCTGAGACAACCAGAGCCAAGACACAGTAATTCAATACATTTGTGTTTACTTTTTAATTTACATGCTCATCCCCGTCTTCACCAGTCCTACACTGAACCATGTGCATCTCTAGCAGAATACAGCGTAGTGAACCACTGCACGGCATAATAAACCAGAGCTGTCAGAGGCTAAACTTTCAGTGAATATCTTTTATCTCATTCTAAGAAATGACACAAAGCAAGAATAATATTACCAAGTTTTATTTACATAAATCATACATACAAGACCCACTAGTCATTGCTCATCCTAAGAATCACTAAGAGTTATTGCTTATTTTACATAAATCACACGCCTTTAGGGTTATAGTTTGTGCTAACAAGTGTTTGAATACTTAAAGTGATTTGGAAAGAAATATTAATGCAAGCACACAATGTACTTTCACATGGCTTTGAAAGCAATACTAGGTATGTGGATGATAAACATGTTAATAAACCAGCAGACCTGGATATGATTGAATGACTGTGCTTCAAGGATCCTACTAGGAAAAAACATTTGGTATTTTGCATAATCTCTAGGTGCTCTCATTTCTACAGCAGTGTGGTTTTGTCCTATGTAGATAGGTAGACTACAGAGAAGGAATGCTGGGAGCAGCACATATACGTAACCTTCAACTGAATAATCAGACAGAAGCCAAAAAACAATATGGACACAAAACATGAGATATGGACAAAAGACCACTGTGAAATTAAAATGACACACAGCACAGTATACACTTCACAGGTGGAAGGGTTAGGCCTGGCCTTTTCCTGGAATGATTTGCCTTTCACTTCCCTGTACCAAATCCAAAAAAAGCACTCGAACGATGGCCCGGACACCACCAGAAGAACCTGTGAACTGAACAAGGTCTCCATACAAATTGTATAGCACAGATAACAAAACACTTGAAACGGTTCGGTCAACATGCCTGCATGTTGCTGTGTGTTAACTACAGTTTTCAGTCTCATACTTTTTAATTCTGTACAAAAATAAGAGTGTGTGTAAACATTAGGGCAACGGAAATGTTCTGTTGGTCATCAGCAGGGAAACATTGGCACAGGTGAGCTTTCATCCAAACATTTCTGGGAAAAAATACACACATGAAAAATATATGTCCATTCATTCAGCCATTCATCCATCATCCAGCCGCAAAGACAAATCTTACAAAATCCAACTACAGCAGAAATCCCCCTCTGTGAATATGGAGCTAATGTGCACAGTGACAGACCGGGGCAGTGGATTAAAGTAATTGGAATTTAAATTAAAAAAGGAATGATATATTTTGTCCATACATCATATAGGGTCGTCTTTTTCTGACACAGCAGGTAAGCTTGTAAACAGCACACACATGCTCCAAAAGAGATGGCTTTGGTCATGGTGGCTGTTTTCTAGCTTACAACGTGTTGGTGGTTCCACCTGGTGGCTACATTAAGCATCCTCGGAGTAAACCAGTCAGCCATGGCTGCTCAGCAGCATTCACCACAATAAGCAGCTAACATTCTGCCTCTGAACAGGACATTTATGGACGTTTCAGTGCATGATGTTCCTGTTATACTTCAGTAGAGAAGAGGAGGCTTTGACGTTTGCTGTCGGGTGTTGGAATGCTCTCCAGCTGGAGGAAGTAGAGAAGGACTTGCACCTATGGACACAGAAAAGGTGATCAGACCCACACCACTAGTCTAAACGCTGCCGGCTCACTTATCAACATTCTGACACAAGCTTTACCTGAGCCATGACCTCTAGGGACCAGCTGTCGTTCATGGAGATTGGCTGTGAGCTGTTTGAGATTTTGCTGTCTTTTTCAGAGGGCCGAAGCAAAGTGGGGCCAAAAACCGTGGCCAGATTGTGCAAAGACATCTTGTTGACGCTCTCATTTTCAGTCACCCTGTAAGAAAGCCAAAACTGACATTCAACCTATAGATACACTACAAAATCCCAACCCAAACAGATATACACACTGACATACACCTGACACACAGATACACAATAGCTGAAATACTATATTAATTGTGACGTCTTTTACCTTTTAAGGTGGTCCAGCAAGAAGAGAAAGGTCACCAGATTGGGCTCTGGTAGAGACAGCAGCAGGTTGAGCATGCAGCTCTCCTTGGCCACACTGTCAGAGAGAGCTGCAAGGCAAAGGTATGTCAAATTAAGTATGACAAGTATGTGCTGGTGCCTGCTGACCACTGATGCAATGATAAAGAAGTGGTGACTGACCGATGCCTCCAGCAAAGTTGGGGTACAACTCATCAGTGAAAAGAGGCTCCGGCAGCTCGCGGAAATACAGCTTCAGTGTTCCAGCAATGGCGTTTACGTCCATCTCCCTCATCATGACAGACACGTCCTTGTTATCTGTAGGGCAGAGGAGACAACAGTCACACAAAGGGCTTAAAAAAACACTTGTGAGCAGAGTATGACTCCATCCCGCAGAGCTCTGTCTTTAGGTTTGTCTACATGTGAAGTATCTCTGCTTTCCCAGCTGTGTCTGTCAAAGTTTAAATAAGAAATCAAATTCAGACTGAACTCACTTGAATCAAAGGCAGCCTTCAGAGCCTGGATGTCAGTCGCAACGCCAGACACTCTGTAGATTCCCACCTCGTCCATCCCTCGGCGCTCAATCTCCTCCACACACTGTCTCACAATGAGGGGAACCTTGGAGCGCTCTCGTCTAGTGAGGTCACACAGAAACAAATCAACACGTTATATACATGCTTTAAACACAAGAGACCAAGCTTGAAATAAAGTTAGCCTGTGCTATGTCACGCCCTGTTGTTTGCTGTAAATAGACCAGGCTTTCCAGCAAAATGCAACCAGTTGGTACGCTGTCCACAGGCTAATGGATGCTAATATTGTCTTGACTTCACACACACAAAAAACACATCATGAACTCACTTAGTCACTACATTGATCTTCACTCCAAACACACCGGACTGTTTCCGTGAAGGCATCCGCTTTAGACTGAACTCTCTGCTGGTGAACTTCATCGAAAGCTTCACCTCAACCTGGAACGAGTAAAGAAAAACAGCTATTTTAGACAACTCATTCATGTCAGCTAAGCTAGCGTGTGTAACCTTTGCTGAACAGCCGACAGGCTACAGGTGACATGGACAGGATAATGATGAATGCTAAAAAGCAGTGTGAGCCCACTAGAGTCTTTCACAACAGCAGCCACAAAGGGGGATGACACGCAGCAAAGGGCCAAAGGTCAGATTTAAACCCATGGCCACATAGTCACATAGTCTCACTTTAATGGGTGTATCTGTGTTTTCAGTGTTATCAAACCGCTCTATTTCAGCCTATCCGACCACTTCTGTTGGATAGCAGTTATCCTTTACAACTTGTATTACATAAATCACTTTTATCAACAATGTTGGCTTATGGTTAGATAGATATATGTACTTTATTGTCCCCATGGGGAAATTTGAGCAAATTTCTCCATGGCTGGGAGCTTCTAATTTGGAGATTGAGGTTAAGAAATGATGCCACTTAGTTTGTACCACTTGTGTTGTTAATAGGAACTATATTCAATATTATAAGGCTGCTTAAAACACACTTTCAGTTTTGTGGAACCTTTTTTTTTTATTTGTCAAAACAGGTCTAGCTAAAAAAAACTATACCTAGACCTGTCAGATGTGGACCTAATTAACTCTGGAGTCTACTTGTCATTATAGTCCAAATTTGACCACTGTAAACTGGTTTTGAGCTAGACCTGGTCCAATGTAGTCTGGGTGCAGAAAAAGCAGTGAAATGCCTTCTTGTTTCCTGTTTCCTGTTCTTGTTTGCAAAAATAGAATAAAGGCAGACAAATCTGGAACTGCTCTAAATATAGACTTTACAGTCTCTATGTTAAATTTGTCCAGCTTTGACGAGTCTAGCTATAGTGGTTTTTGATCTAGTTGTGGGCTTCTGTGGCGGTCTGAATACAGAAGTAGTGAATTACAAATAAATAAATAATATTTTTCACTAATCTGAAATTCGGTTTTAAGCTGCTTTAAGGCTTTTAATATATCTAATACTTTTTAACAACCACAAGTGGTGCAAAAATTGAGACTCTGCTGCTAAATATCATCACTTTGTCTCTTTTTACTGGGTTGGTGAAAACACTTACCCCATTCATGGCAATGACTGTCCTCTGCCAGTCTTTATTTTGCAACGTCTGAGGATCCAGCTGAAAAAAAAAGAAGGTAAAGTTTAATTTCAAATGTCACTTTTAATTCATTCAGATTCGGATAAAAAGCAGGAAATATTTTGCCTATATCAGTGTTAAAGTGAGATGAGCACAATGATTATAACACTAAAAGTGAGCAATGTAACTATCTAGTGAATTGCAGTGAGAGGAATAAGGTAAATAAATGCAGTTAAATATGAACATCACCTGCTCAACTACTCAGCCTCACATAAACATAAACTCCATATGGCCAGGTAGTGTTAACTCGTGTCACTGATCTATTTTAATCATCTGACTAATACCACACTGCCAGGC